TGACCAGGATGGTCTCGATCTCTTGAACTCGTGATCCACCCGCCTCGGCCTCCCAAAGTGCTGGGATTACAGGCTTGAGCCACCGTGCCCGGCCGATACCTCAAACTCTTAGTTGGACTTAGGGTAAGCAGTGATGTTTTCTAGAGGACAATTCAGCAACCAGAAATCAAAGCCAGGGACTCCTTAGTCCTCAGTCAATATCTCTAAGGCTGTCTCTACTCTGCCCAAAGTTATTTCGATTCCCCTGACTCTCAAAGATTTGTTTTGTATACCTCCCCAAAGAAATAGGGCCTCATGGAGATGACATCTACACATAACTCCAGAGTCTGGTACTGTTGATAGCCATGAAAGGGTTTCTAGGCAAGGTGCATGCTAGAGTCATTAATAAAAACTTAAGTGGTCTTGGACTCCATCCTAGCCCTGGACATATGTGCAATGAACCCCCAGGTGGGAGAGTCTGGTAACTAGACATTCATGCCCTGTGTGCCCTCATCCGTGGATGGACTTGGAACCCTGGAGCCACCTACCCATGAGCCAAGTAGTCATAACAGACCAGCAACAAGTCCTGCTAAAATCTCTAGAGAGGGGTTGCCAAGGTCCACTTAGCGTGTCCTGGCTTCTCCTTGCATTTCCCTCCTCGTGACTCCTTTCCCGCTCCCTTCCCACTAGGAACCCTGGGCTGCTCAGCAGCACTTACTTCTCCTTGCCATGTTTACTGCTCCACTCGAATTTGCCAATACTCCCAGTATTGGAGCCCAGATCTGATTTGTGAAGAAAGATCCCCAGACGTGTCTTGAACTCTTTGGCTCTGGAAAACAAATCACGAACATGAAAGGATTCTCATTTGCTCAGCCAGTGTGGAGAGGTTTATGGGTCCCAGAAGAGTTTTGGGTGGCACCACTGAAACTTTAGCCTCAAGAGTTCCCGGGGAACTGTTGGCTGTTCCCAGGTCCCAAATGTGCTTCTCTTAACAGCATCATCAACCCTAAAGCGACAAAAGCACCGCCTGAGCTATGCCATAGTAGGTCTTACACTTTCTGGGTAATACACACACTGCATATATGGGCTTTTTCCTAAAGTCACACTGATCTCTCTCAGTGCCTGTTGATTCAGAAGGGAACTCAGCATTCTTTTCAGGAGTATTTCTGAAGTGTGTGGAAACTGATTCCTGCCTTCATCTTTACTTTTTCCTTACCAGCCAGTAACGATTGGAAGCTGTTGAGTAGCTCTCTGAAATATGAACACGCCCTCAACAGTGGGACCCCCCAACCCCCAAAAAAACTCCCTGCCTCTAGGGGCAGAGGGGGCCATGCCCCTAGCTCTGGGCTGAGGAATGAAAACCAAGTGTTTAAGAAATGGCCAGGCTCAGTTCTGCCTGGAAATGTCAACGTGGCCTTCCTGCAGCCGTGTCTTCAGTAGGTCACCTGAGCACGACTACAGTTTGTCAGAGGATGGGGATGGCAGCAAGCAGCGGGCCCTCGCTTCCCTTCCCCCTGCTTTCTCCCTGCTCCTGGAATCTGAGCACGTGCCATCAAGTTCGCCTCTACCTCTGAAGTCTCTAGCGCCCCATCCCCGCGCCCACCCAGGTCCCCAGGCCTGCCGCTCCACTCCCTAGGAGTTGGTGGGACTTCCAACAAGCAGTTGGACAAGCTCCCCTTACCTCTCCAGGCAGGTGTTGGGGAAGGCGGCCAGGGTGCGGCACATGGCTGCGGGCGCAAGGCAGCACGTAGTGGGCAGGATGGTGGCGGGCTCCAGGAGGGTCCGCGAGCGCGAGAAAGCAAAGGCGCAGTAGCAGGTGCCAGTGAGCTAGGGTTGGGCTTAGCAGCCTGCATGCGCCCAGACTGCGCGGCCGCTGCTTTTATCCCTTCGGAGGGGCGGGGCGGGACGCTCTGACCAATCGGAGGGCGGGGCTGGGCGCTCTGACCAATCGGAGGGCGGGGCGGGGCGCCGGGATGGCGGAGGCCGGGCCCGCAGCCAGACCGTGCCGGACGCAGCTGGGCTGCAGCTTGGAGCACGCGGCGCTGCACCCTGCGCCCGGAGGACGCCGCGTGGAGAAGGAGAAGCGGCAAGAGAACTGGCACGGGGATGAGACGTGCACACGCAGTTTCCTAGGGAAAAAAAACCCGCCGACCTCTAGTAACGGCAGGAAACTCACGCAGCGGTGTCGTGTTGGGAGGGTTTGCCTGGGGTGGGTGGGTCCGGGAGGCACGAGGGGCTTTGATCCCAGGCAAGTCTGAGCCTGCTGGGTCCTGAAGGACGGCGCACAGGGTGCACGCTCGGGCAAAACAGCATCTGATTATACCGATAAGTACCACTTACGGGGCTCTTACCCCGATCGATGGACACGGGGCTGAGTAAGCTCTTCTTCATCATCATCGTCTCCATTTTATAGTTGAAGCAACTGAGAATCAGAAAGCTAAAGAAACTTTCCTAAGATCACAGTTGGAGATGACAGACAATGGGATGGGGTGATGATTTTGTTGAGCACCTACTATGTGCCAGGCACATAACCTAAGACTCATATTAAATAACTTGCTCAGAGATGTTCAGCTGGGTGTTGACTCCCAAATTCAAATGTGAATTTATCATTCTTTTTCTGCCCACCCCCCCTCAACCCCGCCCAGCCCGCACCCGCAAAGGTTAGAATCCAGTCACAGCTATAACTGGTGGACCATCCTGGGTTTGAGCAGTTGCTACCTTAGTGTCTCCATCTCTGAGATAAAGGTAATAAATGCCCTGCCTCTCTCCTCACCTTCCCATAAAGGCATTACATCCTTCCCCAACACCCCTCAGTTCCCTTTGGGATTGCTATTAAGAGGCTGCATGTGAGGTTAAGAGTACAGGGTCTAGGGTCAGATTTTCAGGCTTCCAGTCATGGCTCTGCCAGTTACTAATGGGAGACTAGGCAAGCTGCTTAACCTTTCTATGCCTCCATGTCCTTGTCTCCAAGAAGAGAACAGCTTATTTCATAAGGTGGTTGTGAGAACCAAATAAATTAATTCTTAGTTTGAGTTCCTACGAACTAGACTCTGAGGCAGAGGCTTGCGTGCAGGGGGTTTACTGGGGAGAGCGTTCAGAATTGAGAGCGAGTAAAGGAAGCAGGTTTGGACAGAGAGAGGAGTTGAAGGCCATGCCATTTCAACAGAGACCGCAGCAGGTTCCAGGGAATGCCCTGAAGCTCAGCTGGCCCTTTGGAACTGTCCACTGAAGCAAGAGGACAGGCCCTGGTAACCCCATAAAGACCATCATTCCATAGAGCTGCCCAAGGAGACAGCTTAATCATAATGTAGCTCCCTTTGTCAAGAGCATTCCTGGAGAGAGACTAACACCCTGGGGAATGATGGCTCAGTACGTAGTCAGCACTCAATAAATGTTACAGTAGCTTTCAGTTTTACTTAATAAGGATACTGGGATTGCTAGGAATAAGGAAAAACAGTGCGTTTTTTGTGCCTCTTGGAATACAGTATAGGATTTTATTTCATCAGGGGCATCTAAGAGTTGCTGTTCCCCAGCAAGTCCTGCTCTATGCTTCTGGCAGTCAAGGGTAAGAAAAGGGAAGCAAGGGAAAAACAGGTTCCCCACCTGAGGGCTCAGTGAGAAGGCTGAGAAAAGGCAGTAAGGGAAGGAAAGGAAAAAACCACAATGGGGTAAGGCAAGACCTGTGAGGTCGTGGTTGAGGCCACTGGAGCAAGAGAGGCCAAAATCACAAGACACTGAGGGGCCATCTGTAAACACAGAGTTGCTGTGGAACCAGGACCCGCAGAAGCTGACCCAGTTAGTCAAAACTTCAGCCCTCTGCAGAGGGCTTTTTTGTTGTTTTCAGAGATGGGATGTTGCTATGTTGTCCAGGCTGGTCTTGAATCCCTGGTTCCTGGGCTCAAGAGATCCTCCTGCCTCAGCCTCCCAAATAGCTGGGACTACAGGCACATACCACCTGACACAGTTGTTACCCTTCCCAAACCTCTTGGTTAATTAGTGGAGAACAGAGGCAGGCACAGCAGTGGCGCCTTCCTGTGTGGCAAACACACCTGGTAGCAATAACTGAAGTAAACCCTGAGAATGGCGCTGTGTGGTGACACACCTGATGTGTGCTCCAAGCTCGGGAACCCAGAGTAGCCAACCCGGAGAGTCATTCCTTGTCTATGAGGAACACCTGAGCACCTGACTCGACCCATGGAACATGAGCCATACAGGGAATGGAGGCCCTGAGTTTGGGTTAAATGAAGGTTGCCAGGTGGAAGCTGTTAAGGAAGGGCGCTAAAGGGAAATGCTATATAAACTGCATGCCTTTTGCAAAGGGTTGTGGTTTCCCTGCCCCGCCTGCTGCTTCTGGGCTATGAGGTTCTGCTGTCCAGTCTGCTGATAGTGAACTCTCTCCTCTGTATGTCAGCCCCCAGTAAAACCTCATGTCTTGTTTGGTGGCTCTGGGTCTCTTCTTTGGCCTCTTGAACGTGGTGCCATCCACACTGGAGTCAATAGGGGTTGGGGACAACACTCCTGTTGCAGCACCATCTCAGACGCCAGCATCCCACCCTTGCCCCGTCTTGCCAACCTAGGCTCTCGTTCTTCCTATCTCACAAGTGCAGGGCTGGGATGGTTTGGGGCAGGGATTGCTGATGAACAAGGGTTGGGAGCAGAGCCACGGAGTGCAGACAATGGAAGGTTGCCTTTTTGAGCATCTGTGTTTCTCTGGCGCCTTCATTCATCCCAGCCCCATCAGCAGGGCATTCTGCTGGAGGAGCTGGTCGCCAGGTGAAGGCTGTTTGACCTGGTGCAGCTCAGGCCCCAAGGCATGCTTTTACCATGCAGCTGGGAGGGGGGTGTTGTCTGTGAGACAGCTTTTCTCCATTTGACAAATATGAATCGATGGGTGGATCAAATCCAGCTTCATCCTCAGTAACACCACATTTGAATCAGCCTGGACATGGTCACGTGACAACAATAAAATAATTGTTTGGAAATCTCAAACCTTCCCATCCTTTCTGCATCCCTGCAAATAGCCAGAGGGAGTTTTTAATTCCATTTTGCCTACACACAACAAAACTCAGGGTACCTGAGGCACTCTTAGTCAAATGTACTGGAACTGGACATAGCTGGAACTGGACCCTGTCTCCCAATTCCTGAGCTACTACTTTCTGCTGCTCTGATAAAGAAAGCAAAAGAAATGAGGCTGGGAACAGTGCCTCATGCCTATAATCCCAGCACTTTGAGAGGCTGACGCGCGGAGATCATCCGAGGTCAGGAGTTCGAGACAGCCTGGCCAATACGGCTAAAGCCCATCTCTATTAAAAATACAAAAAAATAGCAGGGCATGGTGGTGGGTGCCTGGAATCCCAGCTACTTGGGAGGAGAATTGCTTGAACCCAGAGGCAGGGGTTGCAGTGAGCCAAGATTGCGCCATTGCAAAAGAAACAAAGGAATTGATGCACAGTGCATAGACCAGCAAATCTGAGAGCACAGAGCTCCCTATTGTAGATGAACGGCCCTCTCTGAGTTCAACCTGCCTCTTCGTTGCCATGGTTACCTCTTCAGTTTCCAGGCAGAAACTTTTTGAAGTTCACAGTTTATTCCAAATTCTCTTCCCAGCAGGTCGGTTCATATCTGCAGTTTCGGTAATGCAGGATGACTTGACAGTTGCTGTAAATCCAGCAAGTTGAGCTGGCTTGTGAATTGCACTGGCTTTGACAAAACCTGACCTCATTTTTGCCCAGCACTCCCAGAGCAGCTGTGATCTCTTTAATGGATGGCGGCATGGGGGCGCAGCTCTGCACCCTGGGTCATCTGGGGTCAGCAATCTGGGCAAAGCTGTGGTCAAGATTAAATCTCCCGTAGCATCCCAGCCATATTGCCTTTCATCTCCTTCAGCCCCCACCCCCAGCACCACCCTTTCCATGGAGGCAGAAGCCTAGTTGGGGATCTTTGTCTACTGAAAATAATAAGGGGAAATGAGAACACTTCCTCCATTTTTCTGATTCAGTTCAGATGATCCCCACAGTGGTTTAGATCCTCCAAATTCAATCATCAATCTACGAATAACATTTCTTAAGAATTTACTATATTCCCAAGTTGGTGGGAAAACAATAGCTTTTAAGTCTCTTCCCTGAATTCAAGGACCTTATATACTGGCTAAGGAAACAGAACTGCATGGTGGGGAGCAGGGAAAGTGACAGGAAACTGTTGTTTGTCACAGAAACAGATGTCAAGGAAAGAGGCTGATCGGAGAGGGTTGACAGTATTGAAAAAGAAGTGATGGATCCATGGTAGCTAGTGAGAAGCAGGAGAGGTAGGAGGAAGCAAGAAAGCTAAAGAAACAGGAAAAGCTGTCGTCATTTGGAGGTACAGCAAAGGTGCAGAAAAACTAAGATATTTATTATATGCTGCAGAAGCACTTAGGGTTGTGGGACACAATTGGATGCCACTTTTAGATTTAAGAGTATACCCTGAGGCTGCTGAATGAGGAAGCAGTGATCATCTCCAGCAGAAGTGAAATAGACAATCACTGGGGACATTTCCCTGCTGGTTCATGACAAATGTTTTGGGCACCCTCTCCTCCTGGGCGGGAGAAGTTGACCAAGTTTAGCCTGATGTAGGAAGTGACTCTTTCCTGATTAGTGTCTAGGGTATTGGTGCAGCTTGCTTTGCTGCTGTATTAGTCCTCTCTGGCTTCTCCTTTTCCCTCCCTCCCCACTCCCCGCAAACCTAGACTTAGAGGACGATGTTCTAGACTCCTCTGTAAGGCATCTAAGGTTCTAACCACTTGTTCTCACATGCTTTATACGCCCTAAATTCCAGCCAAACTCGGCAATTGGCGCATTACCCTGGACACCATGCTGCCTTATACCCACACACCC